AGTAGATTTAAAAACCTGTAGCTATCCACTGCCCGACAGAAGCCCCTGCTCTGAATGTCTAGTTCTATGTCCGCAGCGCCTTTTTCCTGTACTTAATGATATACGAAACAATATTACTGGAACTCACTTGTGCACCGAGCATTCAAAAGAGGTTGACAAAGAGGTTGATGTTACGATAACTTCAAATGATCTCTACTGTCACCGAATTAAAATAAAGGTAATGATATCAAAGTATAGTTTAAGAACCACGTCTAGCGTGACATTTTCTCGACATATGTCTACACGGTGTATGAGACTAAAATATTTGCATAATTTATAGTGAACCATGTCATTGGACGATTCTAACGATACTCTGTTAAATGAAATAAAGAGATTACAAAGTGAAAACAGCTTTTTAAAGGAAAAACTCGTGTAAAATATTCAAAACAAAACTTATCTTTAATTAATTTTTGACAATATTTTTCATTAATTATTTACACAGCTCCATCTGTAATTGATATGTTTGAAAAATTTAATTCACACTTGACACAATATTATGAGGACAGTGATGAGCCAATCTATAATCCAGAGTACATGAGAGAGTTTGCAGAGAAGCATGCGCCAGGGCTATTTGATACAGTGCTGAACTTGATGTCGGGTCAAAACGAACAATCTGCAAAAAGAAGTAAACTGCAGATGCAAACAACTGTTTCCATGCCTCATACATTATCATATTTTAGAAATCAGGTAAACATAGTGATGTATAATTCAGGCAGAGATGTATGTAATAAATGAAAAACAAAATTAATATTTGAAACACACTATTGTTTAGAAAAACAACAAGCTTCAGCTTTATTGTGGAGTATATTTGCCAAGGCATGGAGCCTCCCAACAAGCCCTCATGGCTGGTATGCAAGTTGGATATGCCTCGCACCCTAGGACGATACAGCTTGGTAAACAACAATTAGCTGATTCAAGCACCTCAACTACAAAACAAAAAATATCTGATGCACTAAGGGTAAGAAACTTTACTTACAAAGCACATATTTCGATTTTGGGCGCAATTAAAATTAATAAACAAATAAGACAACACTGTTAGGAAGAAATATCAATTTAGTGAATGAATTGTGTTATAGTTTCACACTAAAGTAAGTTAATCATTATTCTATCATTCTAAAAGAGCCCAAAAAATATTCTTCTTAGGACAGAAAGTTCCAAATTCTTATCATTGATGACTTTCACGCAATCCACACTGTACAAGACCCAAAGTCAGCATTGACTAGTACTTCAGTACACTTTGCAACAGATTTAGTGGACATTCACCCAAAAATCCCTGCAGTCCCATTGAAAGGTTTTTCTCTTTTTTTTTCTTTTTCATTTGAAGAATTTTGGTTACAAACATAATTATTAATTTATTTTTTATTTTACAGATGATCTTCACTCTAAAGTCTATGTAGGCAATAAGTTATGTAGAGGGGGTATCAACATCACTGCACTCCAGCAGTTATTTACAATTAATTCATTTAATTTGACAACCAAATATTTCCTAAAAGCACTGCCACAGAGGTTTGTAGAGTTTGACATGGAACATGCACAAGAATGTGTTCAGCACTTAAGGTAATGACAATCAGAAGATGGTTCATAAATCCAAACTTACATAAATGAGTGATATTCATTCCAATGCCTTATGGTACATCTAAATGTAGCCATGGCTTCAATTAATTCCATCATGTTATTAACATCAACAGATGTTATACTGAACCTGAAAGAAAAGATTTGGACACTCTTAAGAAAACCAGCTTAGTAGATGAAGAACGGCCCTTAAAAAGTATAGAGAACTACAAAGCAACCTTACAGAACATATTAGCTCAACCCATACTACTCCAATATATGAAGAACTTTGGGGTATTTACATATGGTGACTGGCCAACCTGGTATTTTGTGAAAAAGTTGATAGCACAGGTAACCAAGTAGTAGAAGTTCATAAATTATATTCAATATTCTTTTTTTTTAGTATACATCAAAACATCCGAATGGCTTTTCTACATTTCAGTCAAATCCACAAGCAGTCCCATCAAAGATTCTATCCATGATACCATGGCAAGGGCCATTTCACATCTCTTTTAATGCACAACAAAATGTAGTAAAAATCTACCGTTTTCTCTTTGAGCCATTGTATAAATCCACACTGTACAATTTGGATTTCTTGAAGGCAGATTGACTGTCGCACAACTCTTGAGAGGCTAAAGCCAGGGACTGCCGCGTCCAAACTGATATTCTGTTTCTAGATCTAACTAAGGCCTTCGACACCGTCGCCCACGAAAGACTGCTTTTAAAACTGTATGCAGACGATATTGATGGTCACCTCTTGGATTGGTTTAGACATTTTATCACCGGTCGCAAACAACGAGTCAATATCCGCGGCACCGTGGTCTCCTGTCACGTCTGGGACGCCCCAAGGTACAATCCTTGGCCCAATTTTGTTTTTAGCTTACATTAACGATATTTCCGATAATATCTGTCATTAGACTCTACGCCGATGATACCAAGCCGGAGGTCGATGTACCAGCACTGCAGTCGGACTTAAACCGCCTAAATCTCTGGGCCAAAAAATGGCAACTTAGATTCAATGCAGATAAATGTGAAAGTATGAGAATTACCCACAATAAAGATAAGTCGTCAACTAAATATACACTTGGATCCACTCAACTCAAAGACACTGCAAGCTTTAAAGACCTGGGTATTACTGTTTGCCGGGACCTTTCTTGGGGAACGCATATCACAATTACAGTAGGTAAAGCCAACAAAGTCCTAGGCGTTATCAAACACTCCGTTGGTACGGCCAACAAGGATATTTTTCTATGCTATACATCTCTCTGGTACGACCAATTCTTGAATATGCGGCAACGGTCTGGAACCCATACCTCGCAAAAGACATTCACGCCCTGGAGAAAGTCCAGCGTAGAGCGTCTAGACTTGCTCTTCGACAGAAAAGGGGGGACATGTCATATGAAGACAGATGCAAATTACTAGGCTGGCCAAGTCTCTCAACAAGAAATTACTTATCCCTAGAATGTTACAAAATTGTTTTAACTTAAGTCACCTCAAATTTGAGGACTTCTTTGAATATACCAAATGTAAAATAACAATATCTAATCATCCATATAAATTATACCTTAAAGCGGCCAAAGTAAATCCGTTCAAATACTCTTTTTTCATTAATATTGTCAAATTATGGTATAACCTCCCTAACTACGTAGTCCAAGCAGGCAGTCTCACTCTTTTTAAATCCAAATTATCAAATCATCTCGGCCTCATATAGTCTTCTTTTTTTGACCATCTTATTCTTCTCTTATCTTTAAACGTATATATATTTAGCTTTCTTGTTTATATGTCTGTCGTTTTTCAGGGGAGTTTTCACATAGGGCTAACCTCGTTATATTTTTCGTCTTGTATCTCGCTTTATACTGCTTTTATATGTGTATTTGTATAGTGTTGATTTGCATCTGGAATAAATCTTTATTGTATTGTATTGTAAATTCATTTTTGGCAAAGAAAAGTCTTGGCAAAAAAAAAAAGTCTATGCCATTCCGTATCAGTACCTTGATAACTGCATGTTGGTGGTTGGTTGTTAGTGAGAGAAATGATTATGCAACAGTTTGGGAGACACTACAAGAACACTGAATATATGCTGCTGATGTACCTTATGGAGGAGGTAGTTCCATTGGTATTTTTCTTGTATCCAGTACTATTCCATGGCGGTGATAATACCTTATACAAAGATGCATTGATACGATCAGCAGTGATGTTTATCATCCATCGAAGACGTCATTATGACAAGGCAACACTTTGCCAGCTGAGTGACATGATTCACCATGAAAACCAGGCTAGCATGCACACTGTCCAAAGAGGTTTCTTGAATGTCTTGACTGAAATATTTCATTCATTACTTAGAAGGTAACAGAAAAATATAAAGTGCTGAACAAAATAACCATGATTAATTGCCGTGTATTTCTGGTTGTTCATTATTTTTTAAAAGTTGAGTTATAGATAGTTTGTACTTAACAGTCCATAAGCAGGCTAAGTTATAGATAGAATCATGTGCTTTGCAAACTTTATTATATAGGTAGGTC